AGCCCACCCCCCTCAGCCTGTCCTCATAGGAGAGGTGCTCCAGCCCTTGGATCATTTTTGTGGCCCTCCTCTGGACCCGGTCCAACAGTTCCATGTCCTTCTTGTGCTGAGGGCTCCAGAGCTGGACGCAGTCCTCCAGGTGAGGTCTCACCAGAGCAGAGTAAAGGGGCAGAATCACCTCCCTCGACCTGCTGGCCACGCTTCTCCTGATGCAGCCCAGAGTACGGTTGGCCTTCTGGGCTGCCAGCGCACATTGCCAGCTCATGTCTAGCTTTTCATCCATCAGTACCCATGTGCTTCATGATCTGTGCGCACACATAACACTACAGGGCCTGACCAAACACACACGTGTTCATACAAGCTAAATAATCAAAAAAAGTGGCTTGGGTAGTTTTCTACAGAGCTGAATAGAGCTCTTCACAGTGGAAAAAAATTGGAGCTAGATTTTTCCAGCTGAAAAGGGTAAAGAAAGAAAAAAAGAACACTTTCAATTCTAATATAACCTTAATTATTCTAGGACTAATCTTTTCTAACATACAGAAATTAGTTCAGTATTACTAACTGCATTAAAGGCAAATTAATTCAGCTATAAAACATGCATATTTTATGTGATCTGTTTTAAAAAGAAACATGAGGAGCATAGACACAGCATTTTCTTTTAGCCCCTGTAACAAAACAATAATATTTAATTAAGGAGTGAAGAGGGGGAAAGAATGCTGGAAAATAATACAATTTATCACCTAATACTTATTCAAAGCCACAAATCTGTACAAAACATACTATTCCCTAGACATATTTTTCATTTAACCTTGGATTCAAGTGTAATTGTTGCTACACAATTCACATCATTTAAACAAGGGGAAAAAAATCTACCTAGTTAGATTTCTTTGTATTCCACAGCTTGACTGCATTCCAGGCTGTCACATCCCCAGTTCCAACTATTTTCCCCACTTTAAGTTCCTTTTAGAAAGAAATGTTGAAAAGGTTGAAAACGCTATTTTTAGGAACAAGGCTTCCAAACATTTTGAAACACTTAATCTTTTATTAATTGACATTCTCACATATACTGAATAGGTATAATCCTCTCAGGGTTGCTCCTAAAAAAGGGTAGAAAAAATAACCATGCTCCTTGCTGGGGGGAACCTTTATGACACAGAACTAATTTGTGCTGCTTCATGCCAGACATGAACCACAACTTACTCTCAATGCCTGAAAGCTCCTTCACAATATTTTTGTAAGGGGTATAGCAACAAGTTGGAAGAAACTTCATGGTCTCATTTCAAAAAAAAAAAAAAAAAAAAATCTTTCTGATGTCTGCTGACAGCAAAGATTTTTTGCTTGCCATAGTAAAGAAGAATGGTTTACATGAAGAAGGGAAGGAAACCTGTCAATAATTTACATAGCCACATACTTTCTTTAGTAAACAGAACTTGGAACTAGTGTATTCATTTAAAATTGTTTAAAATTTCCCAAAGAACAAGTAAGTAATTTTATTCTCTAGTACTATGCAGCATAAATAAGATTTCTACTCCTGGAGATTTTACTCTTTACCTGATACGTCACAGCTGCTTAATGGATTAGTACAATGTATTTTATCACTCTTCATACAGAATACTATGGTAGAGCAAGGTTATACATGTAAAGCTGAAACTTTCCTCTATTACATAAAGATGTACAGACACTCAATTTATACTTAAATGTGTTAACATCCCAAGACTGCTAGATTAATTTAAAGATCAGGAGAAACAGCAGGTGGCAATGGCAAATTTTTTCTCACTGGAGAAGGCGGACGACAGAATACACACTTGGATATCATTTCAGAGTCACTACTCTGCAGGCGTAAGAAAGGTTTTTCACATTCTTCACACTGGTGTAAATATAACAAAAATGGCAATTCAGTCAATCATCTGTGATAGACGTGCATTATTTCACTCATGAAGGTACAGCTCTATATACACACATGTAGGTAGGCCTGATTTTTGAGATGCACTTAGTGCGTATAGCTGCCGTAAACTTGACACAGACAGTGCTGCTCAAAATTCATTCCTGCGATGAATGGCTTAGAGGTTTTTTCCCTGAATAAAACTGTATTGTATGTGAACTCTGATTTTATTTTCTTCAACTAATACAGTATCATACTTTAAATTTTGGGTGGCTTGATGGGTATCCGGTTCTTAGCTGTTCTGTCTCGGTGATAATTGCTATGTGGTTAGGGTCTTTTTTTGTTTACTTTTTTTTTACCTGACCATTATCTGACTAAAGGAGAAATGTAGAAAGAAAAATTAAAAAAAATAAAGGAAAATTGATACATAACAATAATTTTAGATTAAATATTAATGTGCTGTAGTCAGTACAAAGAAGTTTTTCTGCTGACTACACACGTACTCATGAAGTTGAATCCGCTTCTGCCAGAGTCAACATAACAGTGATTCCCAATTCACTACTTGTGAAACTATTTACAAAAAATTTGAGACATTTTTCTAATTCTTTGGTATGCTTTGAATATTGCTAAAATGTACCAAATTTGCACCAAAAAGCACCTCTACCAATTTTAACCATATTCTCAAATTTCTGTTAATTGATATTTTTAGGAATGTACACGTTTTCACTGCTGGCACATTCATAAAACTTATCTAAAAGCTTAAAAAACTGCACACTGCTTTTGAATATCTGCTATTCAACTAGAAAGTCTGAAAAATATTCCAGAAATAATAAAAAAGTTAGTTCTTTTCATGCAGTTTCACTTAACAGTTATTGACAAGAAGAAATGTATACATAAGACCTTGCAAATTCACTACAAAAGAACAACTGAGGGGCTGTAATATAAAGCATGTGTCAATAGCATTAAGCTTGTTAATGTTCTTTCTTAACATCTATTTATAATTCATGTTTTAGAAGGCAGAATGCATACAGTCTCAGCTTTAAAAAGACACTCCTCAGAATTTGTATAAGCTGATTTATGTCCAGGAGCACACGAATATTACCTGCCTTGGTTTAGTAATACTCCTATATAAGCAGCCAATTACTCTGCAGAAGCATCAGGTGTACAAAGCCAAAATATATTTATTTTTCAAAGTACACATACGTGGCTCTTTTCTAAAAACAAAACCGCACCTGTATATGAGAACTGGTATTCTTATGAAAACAGATTTTAAAAAGAACAATTATTACTACATCCCACTCCCAAAAAAGGATTTGACAATCTTTGCACATAAAAACCAAACACAATCAATTTGTGTTTTCAGCCTAGAAATTTGACAGCTTTCCTTCAACATTCAAATTTTCTTTCTGTATAAAGTATGAGGTGTGGTTAAAAAACAAAGTGATAGAACCTGAGCAATTTTTGAGCCTCTTGCTTTTCTGCTTTCTATCACTGAAGAGATATGATCCATTTTTTCAATATTCCACAATCTCACAGTAGAATCCTGAGAAAAAAAGATGCAATTATTTTTATATATTTGCATATTACCAAAAGAGTGATTTACATCATTTCCATAAGGATGAAATCTCATTTCATCAGATGAACCCTTTCAATACGAGAGCTAAACTCTCTTACATGTTAATATCATGTCTTTGGAAACTTTAGCAATCTGCTAAACTGCCTAAAACAGCCTGCACATTTTAAAATAACCAAAAATAAACATACTTACCAAATTATTTTAAAGATTGTCTCTAATTACTTGATGTAAATACTGTTTACAACTTAGCACTTTTATGAACAATTTCACCATTGTTAAATTTCATTAAAAAAAAAAAAGCCAAAACGAAGGGATGAAATCTTCACACCCATTTATGTTAGCTCCTGAAACCACATCAAGAATTAGTGATTACCTTTGAGGCTGAAAGAATCCATTTCTTGTTTTTGCTAATTGCAACATCTGTCACCCAGTCCAAATGACCCTACAATAAAGCAAAATTTAACTATAACACAAGGAAGAAAACTATTATTTTTATTATAATTTTAAAACCCCCTATTTATACCATAAATCCATTTTGAAATGCAGTGAGAAAATACTGATCTAGAGTGTCTCATGTCCAGTCAAGAAAAAAATGTTGTTATGAAGTTGGTATTTTCCTACATATACGTGAAAACAGTAGCTGTTACGATCTCTGGTAACCAGACCACCAGTTGTAGCACTCAGAAGAACGACAGCTACAGTTACCATGGGTTTAAGCTCCATTTAAGCATCATCATAGAATCATAAAATGTTTTGGGTTGGAAGGGACCCCTAGAGGTCATCTAGTGCAGTGAGCAGGGACACCACTAACTAGATCAGGTTGCTCAGAGCCCCGTCCAACCTGGTCTTTAGTGTTTCCAGGGATGGGGCCTCCACTACCTCTCCGGGCAACCCATTCCAGTGTTTCACTACCCTCATTGTAAAGAATTTCTTCCTTATATCTAGTCTAAACCTACACTGCTTCAGTTTAAAACCATTACCCCTTGTCCTGTCACAGCTGTCCCTACTGAAAAGATTTTCCCCATCTTTCCTATAGGCCCCCTTTAAGTAGTGGAAGGCCGCAATCAAGTAGTTTCTATTTTTTAAACAGTTTAATAAAGAATTGTAAAGAGACAGTTGTCTTCTAACACTCGTTACCTAAAAAAATCTTGAGTCTATTTATCATGTGATAATGGAGGGAAGAGCTTTGGGAACAGACAGCAGCTTCCCCCCACTTAAAGGAAGGAAACCAATTCTGAAAGCAGGCCAAGTGAAGCAGCTGTATCGGATATCCTTGCCCTAACAACAACAGCACAGCTGATTTGAGGTTAACAGCATTGAGTTGGCATAAGAATAGAATAGGTTAAAATCTAAAATGAATTAGTTATTGCAGCTAGGGAGGTTATTCAAACATGAATGGTATTAACAGATAAGACTCCTAGAGTTTAGGAAGGCACACTGTCATTTTGATAGACAAATGCCACACATGAGAAATACAATAAAAAGATAAACATGTATTTTTCCAGCATAGAGCAGCAGTGAAACATGCATACATAAAATGTGGTTTTTATAGCAGAATCTTTAAAACATGTTCTTATACTTAGTTATGAGCCCAGAATATAATTATACCAAGGCACAGATACTAAACTGGAATTCTCCATAGTTACAAAGATATTAGCATTTAAACAGATGCCATCTTTTTTATGGAAAACTGAGTTACAGTGATTGCTGTGAACTGGGAAATCTGCAGTAGCTGTATTACGTAAAGCACCAATGCTGGTGGCGAATGTGTACTGTTACTGCTCAAAAGGTTTCACCAGTACAGTTCCAGTTCCAGAGGGTAGGTAGCTTACACTTAAGGTAACGGGTGTGAGGCACAAGCTTAGGAGCTCTCCCGTATGAAGATGTTATCTTGAATATGACAACAGCTGAAAGCTATTTTTAAACCCAAGGTTTTGAAGGAAAGTGGTCTTTTCCGAGATCTTCCAGGTGGGTTTGTTCATGAGTGATTTAACTAAGCCTTGAATAGTGCATGCAGTAAGTAAAAAAATCAGCCCTCTATTAAAATCACATTTTCATAAGATAGGAAAGAGCCAAGGTTGCAAATCTGATCTCTGACATTGCTTGACTTCTGTGAAATTAACATTTGCAAAACACATGCACATATGAATACTGTTAATCCTTTTCTTTAACTCACATGTCTGATCATTAGTTCAAGTCTTGTGGATTGTTTCCACTAAGATAAGAAACGAATGAAAGGTACTGTAATATAACATGGTATGTTTGCAAAAAATAAAGTCATGATGGCACAAAAAAAACCCTAATGAGAGTTGGACTTCTTTTTGTTTTATGCAGGCATTACTTACCACCTCAAATTTTGGGTAGTATTACCATGGATATGGAATAAAAGAGGAGGCCTAGCTCTAAGCAGCGATAGCTAAATACTGAATAGCTACCTCATTTACAGAACTGTCCATCCTAAAAAGTACTGTAACATGGTGGACCACACCCTCGTCACTGCAAGCAGTAACATGCACTATATAACCTAGGGACTGAGCTAAGCTTGACAACCTCAACACCGATATTTACATTCTTTTTGAATGTTTCCCTTTTAATGTACTGTTTTCTGTGGACATAAGGAAGCATGTAAACATACAGATATACAAGAGTGTGGCATTTAAAACTGAATATATATACTATCCAGGCTTTTGTTACTTGCTGGAAGAAACTGTCTCCTAAAACATAGGTACAACTCCTTGAATGAGCTTGGTCATAAAAAGAGAAATGTATTAGCTTATTAACAACTGACTTGACAAAGGTAATGTCTTTTTAGCCAATTGTGTATGAATATACTGTTCTAGAAATTAAATCACACAAATCCAGGATATATTCCTGCCTGTGTCCAAAAAGGACAGGCAAGGGTATTTGTCAGATAACGAAACATACAATGCTTCTAAACCAGCAATACATTTACACCTTCTCATCAAACTAGTGACCAGGTAAGAGCTCAGTACCTTTAAGCTTAGCTTTTTATAGCCTCCCTCTGTATCCCATATAGCTATAGCTTTGTCATATCCGCCAGACACAACAAGAGATGCTGAAATATAAAATCAGAATACTATATTTTATCTTTGCTTTGTCATACAGACTAATAAAAGAGGCTCCTTCTAACAGTGAGTCAGACTTTATAAATAAAAATTTAAATAATGAGCTATTAGTCATGCCTTAACAAGACTGTAGAAGTTCCTTTTGGCTACTTGTTAATGTTCTTAATTTTGTAAATATTAATACATAAATTTAGCAGTCACGCAAACTGAGTGGAAAAAAACATACGTGAAAACTTTGTTGACTTAGAAAATTAAGGAGATACCTTGTTTAAAAATTAAAATATAGAGAATACTTTCAGAACTGTTAGGTCAACTGCAAATAAAAACAAAAAAAAAAGTAGAATTTAGTTTGGCAAGCATGCTTTCAGATTCCAATATTCATAGGCCTATCTGCATTTGCATGTCTTCAAGCCAGAGATACGTTCAGCAAGAGATACATTCTTCCCCACAGAGTTGCTGTTTATTTATTTGAGTTGCGTAACTCAGAAGGCACTGTATGAGACTGACTGCAGATTAACCCACTGTCAGCAGTTCAGGAGTAATCTTTACTGGAGTATTCAGATGTGAAATTGCAAAAGAAAACAGCCAATTACATCACAATGTACAGAAATTTGTATTAGAAGAGAAGTGAAGCTGTTCCAGTGCAGCAAGCAGTTTGCAGTAACACTAATTTCACATTGTGGAGGGACTAGGAGTTGTCTGTGATCTAGTGAATGTAATGGAACTAAGGCATGAAGAAATAGCTCCCCACTATCTCCACTCAGATACAGGGAAACTGGGGAGTCTGTTTCTTCCTCATATTCTCCTCCTATTCATCCAAGCATCAAGGAGACATCCAAGTTCCAGGTACCAAATTGTCTTGCTGTAATTTGTAAATATCATCTGCTTTGAACATGGTAGTTTATGTGTTCCATCAGTGTAGCTGAAAACATGTTTGAAGTTTTTGAAAAGTACATTACTAGCATATGCTGTTTGGGCTGTGAAGTAACATTATTTTGGGGGTACTAACAAAGACAAACATATCTTCCTAATTATTACAGATCAGTACAGTATTTACTGAACACGTTTTTTCAACTAACTAACATTAGGAGAATATCCACAAGTGCTAAATTAATCTTTTAATACAGTATTGTGCTTATACTCCATTACGATCTTTTTGTTAGACCTCTTGATGGGTATATCAATTAAGCAGGTGTTCCAGTTGCCTGGTTAAGACAGAACACAGACCATCAACTTCAATTTACTTATTTACATGGACATCATTGTCTCGTAATTAAACATGTTATCTTGGAAATGATTAATTAATTACCTACATAATCAGACTGGTCACTTGTGGTTCATCTGAAATGTCCTATACATAGGTATTGACATACATCATGCACTAATATTAAGATAACTCACCATCTTGGCTAAAAAGGCAGGAACTAACAGAACCTTCATGTCCTTCATTCAAGGAAACGGGTTCATGACACTGAAATTCTCCTGTCTTTATGTCCCATATTTTTAAGCTTTTGTCCCAGGATGCTGTGCACAAGTAATGACCATCAGAGGTAAAGCAGCAATCTGAGATAGCATTGCTGTGTCCCCTGAAACACAGATGAAAAACACAGGAAGAGTGAGCTTTTGTAATCATTACAAATCTCTCAAAGAGCCTCCTACAATATTGAGTACCCTGTCTCCATCCAGTAAAGCACCATAAGCATATTCTGAATTTTAACCGTATGAATAGTTCTGTAAAGTCTCTGGAGCTGCTTACAACCTCACAACCAGCACAGGCTTAAATCCCTTATTGATATAGGTCATTTTGCAGGATTGAACCCTAGCTGTTAAGTGCCAAGTGACCAGCTATTTTCTTCACTGAATGCAGCTTAACAAGAAATTGTTTAGCAGCTATGACACGACCGGATTTTACTAAAAGTAAGCAACCAAAAAAAGCCACCCATTTTTTCATTACATAAGTAGCATGTATCCCTCTCTACATGTAAATTTCAACTCAAACATTCAGAGGAAAAAGATTAAACAATTCTAGATTAAAGTCTAGTTTTGGAAGCAGTGAAACCCATGAGAAAAGAAATCTGGATGTTTCAGAACTGGGCAAGGACTCTAGTGCCTCCTGAAATCTATAGTGGGAAAGGATTATGAGCATCTCTTACAGGAAACAATGCTGTAGTCACTGCAATTTAAAAAAACATTACAATGTTGCAGATTGAATTTCCCATTCGAAGAAATTCCTAATCCCTCAAAAACAATTTTATTAGTGTTTAAAGGCAGACTCTCTTTCTGATTATTGTTTTAAGAATTCAAAGCTAAATTGGTTGAGTTTATTTAAAGCCACTGATATTTTTAACGGTTGATTTGACATCTCTATTGTTGCATACATCTTTCTTCAAATGATAACAAATTCCTAAATTGACATACTTTTTTTATTGTATTACTGACTTCAGTGAGAGATATAGCAGTTTAGCATGCAAAGGCTCAGGAGATCATACTGAGCAAGGCTTCTGGCACTGGGCATGACCTTCTCCGAAAACATGTAAGGAAAAATGATCTGGAAAAACGATCTCAGAGAGCGGCCACTGTGAAAATGAAAGTACATATTGAGCTCGGGTCCACAGCATTTGTCCTGAATCCAGTCCTATTTCATACTTCCATTAACAGTGTAGATAACGAGATATGACATGAAGCCAAAGAGGTTCTGCAGTTATACAAGGGAGAAGATTAAAATTTAAAATTATCTTCACAAATTGAAGAAATCATAAAGAAAATAAAAGGGTTATAACAGTCTTTATAGGAAACAATGCTGTCGTCACTGCAGTTGGAGTGTTACAGTGTTTAATCAATGATCTAATTTGCATGCTGCCTGATCAGGTCAATTTTGTAAAGCCTAACATTCTGTAATAACATACAAAAAATCAACTGCACAGATAAGAGGTGGGAACAATGGACTACATCACAGTTATGCAAAAAAAGGATGCAACAAATATTGACTGCTCTTCACTATGATGCTGTCAAAAAAGGAGTAAATTTCATTCCAGGATGCATGAACAGAGTCACGTCATTTTTCTTTTTTTTTCCCCAGTCAGAGGTAACACTGTTTACATAATGGAGCCATATAATTAAAAAAAAAAATGTGGGTCAACTGGAAATATCTCAGAGATCAACAAAAAGAACAATCAATAAAATAGGAAATAAATATTAAATTTGTAAGGATGGTTTAATCTACTGAAAAGATGACTTGGCAGATATAATAGAAGTTCTTGGATACATATAAAACCATAAAAGAAAAGAAGGGAATAGTCTGATCTCAGTGTCTGAAGTGGATCTAAACAGAAACATGTGAGCTCAAGCTGCAGCCAAAATAGTCCACCTTGGGAAAATCTTTTTAATGATTAACACAGCAAGGCAACAGAACAGATTGTTTGGAAGTCTGCGAGGTCTTCACTAGAGCTCATTAAGAGCAGAGTAGATCATCCTGTGATTGCTCTGAGGCCCATGAACTTGAAGCACTAAGGTGATCTGGTTGCAGTGCAAAACCTAATTATCACAAAATATTCTGTAAGAACTCATGATTAATTACCAATTCCCAACATCTAGATGTATTTTCTCCTTTTCCTCTGTATTATTTTTACTTCACTCCATAATGTTTTTAAAGACTTCAATATTCTAAGTAATATTTTATCTCCTCATTCATCAATGATTATATATTTTTGGTAATTAGTAGAAATTAGAACAAGAAGTTTACACTGCAGTACCATATTGCATATGCTTTCTTCTGCCTTGGTATATACCCAAGAACCTAGAAGCTCTAAAAAAATAGCACTAGTAATGCTTACAATCACCAAAATACATTTTTTCAATTATTTACAGCAGGAAGCTTGAGTAGACCATTTTATTCATGCTTTCTATATATGTAATTTGCTTGCATATTACTTTATTTAGTTCAACAATTATTGTTCATTTTCTCTAGTACAAATCTTAGCATAAATCTCACTGACAATTGTGAAAGACAGAAATAATCCCATGCATAATTAACTATAGTATTGTTTCTTACTCATTAATTGTAATTGAGGTGGATCGTGTTATCATATCCCATAGCTTTATGGTCTTATCATATGATACTGAAGTCACTCTTCGGTTATCAGGATCAAAACAGCATCTTGTGATTGTACTTTTGTGATGACCTATATAAAGAACATCAAGTGAGACTATTGGTTATTTTGAACAATTACATCTGGACCTCAGAACACAGGTCTGAAAGGCAGAACTGCCCATCGTATCTATGCGTCAGCCTATCTCCAAAACACTGTAATTTCAAAATTGCTATTTCACTGGCTAGGACACCTCCTCACCTACCTCTCGGTGAAAAGAGAGGCCTCATAGTTACTGTAGATAGTAGGAATGTGAGCCTGTACCCAGGCACTCAACATAGTGTAAATTCACCTGCTGCCCTGTAGTAATTTATTTCTTTGCTCCAATCCAGAAAATAAGTGCAGCCCCATAATGCCAATGACAGTTAATTACTCAGACTCTTAGGGAGCACTTAAGCAGGTAATTATACTTTTAAGAATGCAAATAGCACCATTAAAATAATGTAAACAAAACATGTCCTGATAGCTCACCTAACAGAGACAGTTCTAATAAATCTATTACAATCTATTTGTTGCACTTTTTATTTTTAAACCAAATTATTTGACCATCAGTCTCTGATTCACAGACGAACATTAACCATATGCTAACTGAACATTTGTAAGACTGCTCATATATTTAGATGCTAAACAAAATTATGCTTCAAAAAAAAAAAAATCACTGTTGGTCTAATTTTGGCCCATTATCTCCTTTTTATAAGCCTATTCTGAAAAATACTGGGTTTAATGTCTTATAGAGAAGTTTCTTTTGCCTTTCTCAAGTAAGAATATTTGACCTGAACTAATTAATTTTCTCATTTTTTTCTAAGAAATAAAAAAAAAGTCAAGAGCTACATAAACAAGATGTAAAAGTTGTAAGTCTTACCTTGGATATGTGCCACTACTGTTGCTCTTATTGCATCAAAAACATATATAGTATTTTCTTTGTCTGAACCAGATACCACATATCTACCATCACAAGAAATATTACATGAAGTTACAATGCCTTCATGATCTACTGCCCACTAAAGAGAAAATAAAAGGTTTTACAAACATGCTTGAGGGTTAGAGAGAGTTTTACAGCAGGCTTTCTATAATCTGTAAGCAGGTTCAGAAAGAAGGCTTTTGATATTGCTTCGCTTTGGTGAAAGCTGATATATGTCTTTATATCCAATTTTTCTATTTTTGTATTAGCAATAAACTTAAAATTAGACAAAGCCACCCTGTCCAAATCCTAAAATGTTAATTTAATCAATCTCAAATGTGTCTTCTGAGACAGGTTATTATTATCATACCCATTTGTATCTGAAATAACTGACACATGTTCATCGAGAGACTTACCCAAGATCAAGCAATTATCAGTACCAAAACTAGGACTAAAAATCAAGTCTACCTACCCCAACCATATTGTATTGTGCTAACAAATAATGTTTTGTTTTCTTAGTTATCAATAACAAAGCAATGAATCTGAATTTTACAGTTGTACCTTCTACAAGATGCACTAGAAAGGATACATACAAGCATTTTTCCTGTTTCCATATCCCAAGCCTTGACAGTGTGATCATATGATGATGTTACCACTCTAAAAATTATATTAGTGAAAACAGCAATCAATGTTTTTGTTTAAAAGGAGGTATTTAAAAAATAAACAACATTTAATTCTGACAACAATTTGATATCCTCACACCCACTAATTTAAAAAGATTTTTAAAGGCTACAGCAGAAACTATTGCATAGCTTAGTTAAAAAAAAGATTATTTATATTTCAGATAGACACTAATAATAAAAATGCCACGTATGTAATTTTCAGTGCAAGCAGCCAACTCAATTTCATTTCATCCATTACAAGATATTTAATTATTTCTAACATTAGAATAATTTTAAAGCCATTATGATGTCTTTCCTTTGATGAATGTGAAGTGTTCTTGTCAGTAGGGTTTTTCGTATTTTCAGTGGTTGTGTGTCTGGGTAACCCTCTACCACAAATGCTGCTCTGCACAAACACAAAGCCACATTAGACAACAAAGCTATTCAATAAAGTTAAAACTGGCAGGTTTCCATTAAATGGGAGGCCAAAAACTTTTCCCTCACACACTTTTATTAAAATATTCCCAAATATCTAAAGTAATATTTATATTGAATGTCACTGGAATTGACAAATGTCTTTAGTACCGCTGTGGCTTTTTATTTTGATAAAATTAATAAACTGTCGCTTTCATACATTTTGCCTAAGAAACTCAATGTATTAAGATTCTAACAACTAAAAATACAAGTAGATTATTAAAATCCTTTTATTTTCTCCATATGTGTATACTGCCCACAACCAACACACTTTCTGCTCCTAAATGGAACCACATAATGCAAAAGACTACATGAAGTTTATTAACCGGTACCATTTTGATTGGAAATTGGTTTCCAGGGCCATACGCAATGGTATTTTACTTCCTGTTTAGCAGTTTTCAAAAATATAGGCAATTGCAGTAGGCAGCATAGCATGTGTATTATTCAGTGATCAAAAAAACTAATCAGTCAACTCAACAATCTGATAAAAATTGACTTAAACTATGGCTTAATGATAAAATATGCCAGAAATAGTATCCCTGGAGGCACTGCATGACCTACTTAACTGAACGTTAATATATGCTGCAGTTGTTTTAATTATTATGTCCACAGATTGACACTGGATTAAGATGCATTTCTTCTTTAATTGACAAGACTGGCGTAATGGAAAGGCTATAGAATATTAATAAACAATACAGACAGAAGAGAACTTTTATGAAGGTATAAATCTCACTGACAGATGAACCCCTGAACCTTGGCTAATTCAATGTTGTTCTTTTATACAAGTGATATATATTTACATAGCCCTTTCAGAACATAAAGTAAAGAAAGACTTCCAGCCCCGTATAACTCAAAACCAGTATTAGACAAGTACTTTGCGCTAAAAGAGGCCATAATCTATCAGACTACTCCAACGTGCATTTAAGACAATAAAGAGATTCTGCTTAATTCAGCAGACATCATATGCAAACCAGAAAATATTTAAGAGCTCCTGCACAAACTTTAGGTGAGAACCAGGTGAGATTTATGGTAGTTCATTTCAGTGAAGGAGTCTGGCAGTAAACAGTCTGCTAGCAGAGTATGGACAGCATAAATGAAAGTGCCAGGATGGAGAGAAGTAGGAAGAGTGTATGGAGGAAGGGAGATGTAAGGCAAAACTGTAACAGAATACTTATCATGGAGCACAGAAGAAAAAGAAATTTGCCTTTGATGTAGTACAAGTTAGGAAACCAAACGAGAAGGACTGAAAAAGTAACTTATTTGTTCTAAATTTTGTACTAAGTGTTTCCACATGCACTGAAATTGAACCTTGGAATCTCAAAAAACATCGCTTTTTTTTTTTTTTTTTAAATAAATTAAGATAGAAAATGGTCACCTTCTGTCATCAGGAGTCAAGTTGCACTCAGAAATTGGGGCGGTGTGTTCTTCAAAAACTTGAATAGGAAAACCTTTCTCAACATCCTTGAGTAAATCCAAATGAGTTTGATTACAAAGTGCTTTGCTAAATTGTAAAAAAAATATAAAGCATCACACAATAAGGGAAAACAAAACTTGTGAAATCAGTAAAGCTAGTCTTACTTTAGTTACAATCTCAGTACTCTAGTCTTACTTCAGTACAACCTCAGACTCTCCATTCCTTCCTTCATTTCAAGACCAACTGAAACTGAGTTCTTCATCTATTGCACCTGGGCTTCTACTTATCTCCTTCCCATCTCAATAGTTTTCACCAGAAATTTCTTGAAAAGAGTTTTCTTTAGACTCTCACATCCATGTCCACGCAAAAACCCTGGCAAGTCTTTCTTCAGAAACTAATATATGGCTTTCCATTTTCTTACACAGTTAAAACTCACACGATCAAGGCCTGCCATCCCTGTATCAATTATTGCAGCATCATTTTCTTCACAAATGCAGTCTCCCCTGCTGGTATCCATGTGCAGTGCTCTTCCACAGATCTCCCTTTACTGTCTGTAATGTCATTCCCTCTATTTGTATTCCTCCATGGATTCTTCGTTCTCAGTCACAAATACAAGCCTCTTGTTTTCAAATATAAAGTCCTTTGTGATTTATCCACAAATATGATCTCCCTTCTGCCCTGTACCTTTGATGCCAGCCTTTGTCACTCAGTTGTTAGATTTTCAAAATTTATGGTTTCCCCTTTGCTGTCCTTCATGTTTTGAAGAAGTCACCTATAAATAACTGGAAATCTCTCTCATAATACGGAGTCCCTCTTAAATTTCTATTCTGTGATTCCTACAACAGCAATGAATAGATTGCCGAAGTGCTGAGATGACCCACACTGCATTAGAGGTTCATTTATATTACTCCATCATCTGCTATCTACTTACTCTGTTACACAAAGAGCTTTAAGTGATTTCAGGAAGGGATCATCTTTTTGTCATACGGTATAAAGTTCAAAGCATAGGGCAGTCCTAACCCATGACTTAAGCCTTGAGGTTCTTTAGTAATATAAATAAAAATATGAATCAAGTTTTACAAATGGGTCATGGTGCCTAACTGTAGACATCAAAACCAAAGTAACCAGGACTGCTGACATGCAGAGTAACTCACAGACCAAAGCATCACAGGATCATTCATCATACCTTCATCTAGGCAAATAATCTTCTATTTCCATGATTAACCCAATTATTCCCATTAGATTTTTGTTTGCTTAAGTACCAAGAAGTTTCAGAATCGGTCTGGAAGCAGGCAACAAACTCCCTTCATCATTTATGTGTTCTTTCATGTCTTCAGCATGAGAATAAAATCTTGCACCCTTGACTACTCCTCCCCTTTTTAACATCAACTGTCAAGTCTCAGATCTAGAGCTGCTTCCTTATAAGGACTTTCACTTGAAGGAGCTAACTTGGCAACTCTTGATAACAGACAAAACTGGAGTGAAAGTAAATTTACTTTTCACTTTTCCACTTATTTTCTGAATGTGTCAATGCACTACAGGCCTAACAACTGGCACTAGAATCATTAGGAATGTCTCTAAGAGCAGAGAAAGAAAACATAGATCAAAGTTACTATATGTTCTTGCTCTATTTTTCTGAGTCAAAAAAGCCTTGCAGTCACAACTGCCTTTCTAGACTTATGCAGTCTTTGTCTGCTGTGCGCCCTATTAATCTTTGTTTTCCAAAAGATGTGTGGACTGTCAGTGAGATACTGTCTGTTCTCAAGAAGAACTTCAAATCCTTTCTCGGTACACTTGATCGTTTGATATCTACTCTTTCAAAGGAAAAAAATAGAACCCCAAAGTGAAATTGTCAGGGCTGGCCTAGCTCCGTGTGACCAAGTCCTCCTTACTCTCCTGAATTCTTATTGCTTCAGCTGTTCCTGCAGAGGCTTGTCCAGACAAAATAAAAGAGTATAATCTTGCCTATACGTTGCTATCAGAAAGTTCCCAATACTCGGGCAAATACTTTGAGATAGATTCTGAAAAATAAGTATTGCTCAACAAGTGTTGAATAAATCTTTCTTAGATAAAAGTTTCAAAGATAAAATTTCTTAGACAGATCAATCCTTCAACACTTCAGGCAAGTGGAGCATTGTAACCCTTCCAGCAAAAAGATCATTCATGATCTACCATGCTTAAAAAAGATTAATGGATTATCTTCTTATTTTTGGGTCGTGATTTCACTTTACTCACATGCAAGACAGGTGAATAACATTCCGCTAAAGTTAGAAAAAGACAAGCTCCAGTTCTAAGTTCAGAAAAAGCAGGAAAGTTTGGAACTGTCAATCTGAAAGTTTTAAAAGTACATGTCATGACTAACACGCTGAGGTAACACTTATTTTTATTTCTCCTATCTACAGTATTTGCTGAAGATCTCCGTGTTTATTTACTTTGGAACCGATCATTAAAAGATGGGACTTTTTTCATTCTAGACTTCCTGATTGCTTAGATCTAGCCATCCACAGCTCTTCAATGACATAATGGTGCTTGGTTTTTTTCAGAAAGGTTCGGATTATGGTAGAAATGGCATTGGTAAGAAGTCAACGCTTTAGATCCTTCATAAAACGACTTCATCTGTATTTGTATCATATTAAGGCATTATTATAAGTCATTACCAATTCTTGAATCAAGTCATGACTGTTTAATATATGCCAGATCTCAATGCCTGCAATCTATTTAGCACAGCTACGTTGTCATTTGCTTGCATAAAATTCAAGGGCTCACGTAAGTCTCTAAGCTATCTTTTAGACTAAATTTAGATTTCATCACCCAGCATCTGTACACTTCCCCAATTCAGTTCTTGCCATCGCCCTGCCCACAGTGGCTGGAATTTTAGGGAAACCCCAGCTAACTACACAAAACTTGAGGGAGCAAGAAAATAAAGGGTGCAAATCAAGAAATAAGTAAAAGGAAAAAGCAAGCTACAAGTATGAAAACACCACAGCCAACTGTGTGATCCCCAATTCTAAGTCTCCTCTGCAAACAACCATATACATAAACAAGTTAAAAAAAGGAACTTTCAGGAGAAAAAGAGTAAGCTTTGTGTATCAACTTACAGTTTTAAAATATTAATAAACTAGAGCTCTGATTCAGTGTATGCTACATATGCTTACAAGGGTCACCCTTTAACATCAAAAATATCTTCAACTATGAACTTCTTTTCTGTGACTGCAAAAACATTTACAGTTATTTTTAAACTTCAGTAAAAAACTTCAGAAGGGTCCTTGATGATTCAGTCAATCTTCATGCCTGTATAACATTCCCTGTTTGATTTCAGCTTTAAGATTTTTTTTTTTAGTTTGTTGTTGTTACATTCATAACATACCCAGAGCTTCACTGTTCTATCATAAGAGCATGAAAGTATTTTTGTGTCTTCAAAGCAAAAATGGCAGGAGCTCACAGTTTCACTGTGTCCTCTCAGAATTTTAAATTGGATCTGTAAAGGAACAGAGCGAAGTTTAGGAATATTTTCCCTTTAAATTATTTTTGACAGCTTAGTCCACGAGGGGGAGTATGAAAGCAAGAACTGGAGAAGAATAAAAATTTTAAGTTCCACTTGTCTGAGAAGAGTTCACATCCTCTCCTTGCTACTAGCTTGTAGGGGATTTACCAAATCTGACTGAGAAAGAAAGGTTGACAGATGCAGATTTTATTTTTCTGGAAAGGATGGAGGTTTATTTTGGTTTGGTTTGGTTTCCCAGTTCTTCCTCCTCCCATGAAAAGTAATACTTACCTTTAAATCTCATGAAGTCTCTCTCAAGCCTTTCAAACACTTGTTTCCTTCGTTCACGGCCCATCAAAGGGCAGCACATCAAGCTTTTAGGCCCCACGTTTTAGCCAAGATTGTAACAAATTTTGAAAAGGCTTTTCTTCAGTCATTTGGGAGTTTATGACTGTCCAGCATGCGTTTGTGTCAACAGAGCTAACGAAAGAACAGCTGCCGCGAGCATTAAGCACAGGTAAAGCGACAGGGAGCTTTTCAACACCACTCCAACA